TCTATCGCTGTTAATGAAATGGCGCGATATATCCGAGCTGTAATTTTCCGCAAGACAAGCGTTTATATGCCTTTTTCACAAATAAAAAATATATTTGCATTTAAAAAAAAAATATATATATATATGCGAAATGAGAATATAAATATTTCTTATGTCAAGTGACATTTTCGTAATCTTTCCAACATTTTTAAGCTTATTATACCTTGTGATTAGTAGACTACATTGAGATTTTTACCAAAGAGAAAAGTCCTTCTAACAATCTAAAGAAATTGTCATTAAATTGTTTCCATTAAATTGCATTAAGACGTTAAATACGACGATAGAGCCGTCGAATGGAGAATAAATCTCGCTAAATCGAGATCCTCATAATAGCGCGAAAGCCTTTAGCTTTCCTCCCTCGTCGGATATCCACTATTTGAGAATCGTCAGTGTGTGTAGGCCCGACGAATCGCGATGCATTCACGACAGAAATAAATACGGAGTGAAAAGAGCTCGGATTCTTTTCACGGAAAGAGATATAATTGCCAGAAAAATAAACGATCGCAAAGTCTGTTTGCCCACGTCTTTCTCCACCACCTCCACCAGCGAGGCGGCGGTACTCTTCGTACCCTGTCTTCAGGGGCTCTTCTCCCCCGATCCTACCCTCCCTCTGCATCCCAGTTACATCCCCCATTCGGTGTGTCCTCGTCTCCTTTTATCTCCTCTCTCTGGCTACCCACTCTCCCGTGCATGCCCCACCTACACCATCTAACCATCCCGTCGTTCTCTCGCTGTCTGCTCTCCTCGGTTTCTTTCTCCTTCTCATCGACTCCCAACCACCGTCGCAACTCCCGTGGAAAAGCTCACTCGAGTCGCGGGTCAACGAATTCGCAATTACGATCTTTCACGTTGACGTGACTACCTACTCTCTCGTCGACTTTGGTAAGACTCGCTCCGTCCTCGTCGCGTACGTTTGGCCCCGCATCCGCAGTCACCCTCGTCTCCCATCGCGATGCGGTACCTTAAGATTTTCTCTAGTAAATCTATCACGAAAGCCGATAATGCGAGGCTGTTCAAACGTTGGTATCCATTTAATAGGAAATACACTGATATATGAGAAAACGAGAACGCGCGCGCGCGCGCGGTCCATGACATTCCGCGAATTGCAAATAGAAGAAATGTGACCTTTTCAACATTTATCTTTCGCAATCTGTCCTAAATCAAAATGTGACGTTTATAATATCCGCACCGACATAATTGATTATTTGTATAGTACATTGAATTTATGATTCGTGAGCTGCGGCATATTCTGTTGCAATGGATTATGCATCGCTGTCCAATCAATCGGTGCGTATATCTCAGTAAACATGAAATTATAACATCGATGCATTAAATATTCAAATTTCGTCTCGTATGTTAAAAATGATATATCGGATAATTTAAAAATGTATCGAGCCAACGAGTGCACGTAGTGGATAGTTAACGTAACTTGTTTTCCCAGCAGAATAAATCCTGGTTCGCGTCCAGACACGTATACTTTTCATTCGTGCAATCTTTATACATACTGTGACCTTTCGCGTGCCGTGGCGGAAAAATCCCGGCCGAATCGCAAATTGGGTTCGCGTTTCAGCGACCAATGAGCAAAAAACGTCCTCCTCGCGGATGCAAGCGCGCAGACGCGCCGGTATCAACGACACGCAAGAGATATCGGAATTCGAAGGATGGAAAAAAGCGACCGGGGCCGTTGTACGGTGCCGCGCTCTCCCTACATCATACACTTACGCTCCTTTGACACACTTTGAGACACACAGTCGCGACGATGCGATGTAAAAACAATGCGACGGCCCTTCAAAAGCTTTGTCAGCCGACTCCCTCATTCATTCTACTTTCGCGCATCTCTCATCCACGATGATGCGTGCGAGAGACGCGAGAGCATCCTCGTTCATAGGCGTCGAATATTTGTATACGTATTAAATGCCCCACGTCTGTAAAACACACGTTTTTTTTTTTTAAACGCGATATGTGCAGCGCGAAAAAAAAAGATCTACCAGAAAGCTGTAGGAATGATAAAGATGGGCATATCAATTACATTATAAAAAAATATATCATTAATAAAAATGCATATATATATATTTCGAATCATGTATGCGGCGGAAAAATGCGATGACTCGACGTCAATGATTCCGCGACGAGGGTGAAGGCATTAAACGCAATCGCGTCCATGCACGCGGGAGGAATTCGTGCATTATTTCAAAAGAATAAACGCGTAAATATGTAAGTGCGCGCGCGTATAGACTCGCAAACGGAAATGACAAAGTAGAACAGTGTCGTTCGGTTTTTACTCTTTGAAAGGCGAGCAAACAGAGGTGGTTACGTGTCCACATTCTTCTTGACAACGTGCGAGAATTTATGCATTGCGAAGGCTGGCGCACACAGTCCGATATAAAGAGGACAGACGCGAGCGGAGTAGAATTTTCGATGGTTATACATATGTGTTACGTGTGAATAATTCGATGGGAGACTCTCCCGGAGCAAACCAAAACTCGATCAAACGAGACTTTAACCTCGCGTTTAAGAATTTATCGCGTAAATAATTAAAATATTTCATAAAAATTGAGCGATTCTTATCTGTAACGGAGATTTGACGAGGGGAAGGACATTTTTATTTTTAGAGCAATATGTTCGACGATAGAAACGCTTCAAACTTCAAATGTCAATTTGCGGTTTCATCCGTTCGTGGATAAGTTTTATCGCGCTAATTAAATTTCAACATCTTTATTCTTGTTATCATATAGAGATACATTGGTATCTGAACCACGTGAAATCGTATTTTAAACCGCATTGGTGTTGCTAGGTCGCGCCGGTCTCTAAATAATTCATTCCATGAATTATTTCTGTTCCTATTCCCGACTGGCAACGAGAATCGATCTGCTTGATCACCGCACCCCCTTCTTCTCTGCCTTCGCGGTACTTTGTCCCAGCGTTACATCTTCGTCGATCATCCCGTAATCTTGTACATTGCATATTTCAGCTGTCGAATCGTCGCGCCTTCCTTGTACATTTTTCCGTAGATTCGAATATAAATATGCGTGAAATATCGTATATAGATATTTGCCACTTTAAATAACTAGCGCAGTCGCACTTTGTGTGACTGCGAACATGATATGCCGGCGATTGGAACATTTTGTTTCCTGAATAAGCAACGGGCCGCGCCGGCGGGCGTTTATTTTACTTGAATATATCGGGGAAAACCTGCATTATATGTAAATGTAGCTTTCAGCGTTTTCGGGAACGGATTATAGAAGCTCGCGCACGTTGCTTCTTAATCCGGGGATTCCGAATGAAATATTTGGTAGATGCTATCGGGCAGTGACGCGACCATTCGCTCCGGCGTGCATTTAATCCCAGAACGAGCATGGTCTCGAATCGATTCGAAATCTAGGTCGAATTCGGCTTAGTGGAATTGATTTCTCCGGTTTCTCGGATGCGAACAATGTATACGTCGTGGGGTTTAGACCGGCTCCGCGAATCAGGTCGTTCCGCCCGCTTCGACGAGACAAAAGATAAAATTCTATCCGCGACGCTTACCAACCAACAAATCGAATAATCGTTTCAACATCGAATTTAATCCGCAGGCAAATCAAGAACGAAACTGTATCGCTTGACCTGAGATGCCTCCATTCAATGCAAATAACGAGAGAGAGAGAGAAAGAGAGAAAAGAAAGAGAGAAAGAGAAATTGATCGTTAGATAGCTATAATGTGTAATAAAATTAAATTAGAAAAAATTGTTTTTTGTTTTATCAACAGAGAGTATATTTACATATATTTTTAAAAAGCGATAACATTCTCCAAAATACTCTCATATCGCAAGTTTGCAAGTCGATTTATAGTTTTAACTATTCATTATTTATTAGATCTGTTGAAACGTGGAATTTTAATCACCATTTAAATAAAGCGTCGCGTTATTTCTCAATAGAAGATTTGTTAAAAATTAAGCGAATGAAAGACAATATAAGTTAGTCGAGTAAAATTAATTGCGCTTGACCGCTTCTCATCGACCACACCCAGTCTACATTACTGCCTGGATGCAGAATATTACAACATTAACGAGCTGATATGCTTTTCGTTTCAGGATGCAGCGAGAAATTTGCGCTTGGTCAGCAAGGTCCGGTCTTCATCCTGGAACCGCCGAGTACCCTGGTCTTTTCAAATACCACGGGCTCCCAATTAGGCTGTTCCGCACACGGCAGCCCGACACCGCACGTCACGTGGATTACCAGCCCGGATCAGAGATCGGTTACGGCAGTTCCGGGACTAAGGTAAATCACGCTTCGCGGATCACGTTCTTGGATCACGCCGGGTGTCCGGTCGTCGCGTTTTCGCGCGTCGAGTTTGACTACTTTTGCATAAATTCTGCCTATTAATTTCCTTTAAATAAATCCAGAGAGCATTCTTTAAGCGTGTATGTCAAAGAGCTTTAGACTCGAGTTAAACGCATTATGTTTTTTCTACATTTTTTTTCCATATTTGTCTCTAGTGCGACTCGACACAATATTTCATTTCTTTCAGACAACTTCTAGGCAACGGAACGCTATACTTCCCGCCATTTCTGGCTCAGGATTTTAGAGCCGAAGTCCACAATGCCCGTTATAGATGCCGGGCGACCAGTTCCATCGGAACCGTACTCTCTCGCGAGGTCACTCTTCGAGCTGGTAAGTTACCTTATCCACGTCTTATCCCTTCGAAAAAATGAAAGCATAGTCTTGTCGACTTTCTCGTAGAAGCTCTCTATAATAGTCGCACGAATTAAATCCGAGCTACTCGCGAATGTCACTGTAAATAATTAAGATTACCGTCATTTATCGGAGAAACTATCATTCTTCGTTTGGGATTCGTTGCAATAACGGACTCGGAGATAACGAATCCTATTCCATTATGTTGGAGTAGCACGGTGAACGCGGAGCCAACACCTCGCATTTTCAACCGAAAGGCTTCACGCTATCCAAGTAAATACCGAAGGGGAAACGGTTGAAAGCCGTTAAATTGTATCGGAGGAAGTTCGATCTCCGAGTACGTGGGCGGGTCTCGGCCGCTCCTGAAAGACCCGAGGAGGGTCAAAACTTTGTCCGCTCGATGCTACGTGAGCCATCATTTAAATGGCTGATTTTAAGCCGATCATTACTACTGGCGGCTGAATTCGCCGACGTCGGCTACATATTGCACGATTCCAATCGGAACAGGATCTTTTTTCGCCTTTTCGCATTTACTGTTGATCGGTCGGATGATACTAGTGATACAGGGAGATTTGATGTAACAACATTGATTGTATCTCACAAGATTATCCCTATCGATATTAGCAGTATCAAAAGTATATCTCTCTTCGAACATCTTTTAAGATGAAAGCGAAAGATTGAAAAACTTTTTTTGTGCATTAAATATGTTTCGGGAACTGAAAGAAGGATCTCTGAAAAAGAAATCCCAGGAAAAAATTGAAATAAAAATATATAAGGTTGAATCGTAAAGTTATCTTTGGGCGCGCAATGTTATTTAAATGACATTCGTATCTCTCGCAGCAAAGTTGTTCGTATTTCATTGCAACGATAAAAGCGAACGATAAATCGCGAGTGAATCAAATCGCGAGATGATAAATGTAGAGCTGTTTCTATTGACAGCAAAAGAAGCGACATGCTTGTTCGCTTTTTAGCCGGTGTATGTAACCTTTTAAATGGGTAAACATCGATCGTTTTCACGAAGCTCCAAGCTTACGTTGCACTTAGGTTGCTTGCTTTCTCAACTTTTGCAAGACCGGCTATCGTTACACAAGCCGCAAGAAGTTTGATGTCAAAAATTCAAGCGGAGTTACTAAGATCGCTACGCGATAATTCTTATGCGACGAGTGACAATCTCAAATATGCAAATTTCTTACAAATTCAGTTTGCGGATGCCACACGATTTTACCGAATATCTCAATATACGCTTTGTGCTCTCCGTTCGTAACAAAACACGTGGTACATTTCATTCAGTGCGCCACGTAGAAGTTCGAAGAAACTGCGAGAATCCAAATACTCTTTGATGCCGGTCCGGAAAGGCGACTGTCTCCCCTTTCAAAGCCGTTTCACGTGAAGCGCGACGGCACCAGCCGTCGGAAAACTTTGGATGGAAAGTTGTTTTTTTTTTTATTCAGGATGATTCGACTAAAACGGGAAGAAAAATTCGCTTCGCCGCTAGTGGTTTCCGAAACTTCCCTTCTCTGCCTCCCTCCCCCCGTCCTCCCCATCTTCCCTCGCAAAGTCACTGGACGATGAAAGAACGTCCAATCAATATCTGTTTGCCGCACCTCGTCCTTGCCCCGCATGGACCGTCTGCCGATATGGAACTTCCTTCTGTCTCCTCTCTCCTCGGCGCTTTCGTTAAAAGTTCGCAGTCCGCTCCGAAGTATAGGCATAAATAATCAAGCCATTCTGTGCCCGCGCTCTTTCCGGAGAAAACAAGTTTAATATAGTTCCAAAGTGATGTATGACGATGGCGTCAACATAAATCGCGATTGTTTTTCCGAGGAATCTCGGAATAACACGATTTGATGAATTCATACAAGTGACATTGCATTTTAGCATTGACATATATTTTGTTATATTTTCTGTTTTGATTTTTTTTGTCACTTTTATCATCGTCAGAATGTGAAGGAGAAGAAACTCTCGTACAAATTTCCGGTAAATGAAGAAATCAAATCTAATTAAATTTTCAGTTGAAATGTAATATCATTAGCGCGTATTTAACCAATAAATATGTACATTTTATCAAAAGAGTCCTAAACGATGATAATTATACGCTGTGTATAATCTACGCAATAATAGTTAAAAGTTATCTACTATTCTCGCGTATAATCGCGCGACACGAGTTCGTTAATGCTACGTGCAAGTTGAAGATTATCTAAGAACCCCATCCCATCGTCGTGTGTCTCACTTTATTTTCTTCTATACACGGAACATCGACCAAGGAGAACCTTCTAGCGGTACTCCCTCTGAAACGAGCGAGCCGAAAAGGAACGGTTCACTTATCTAAAATGACATCGGCCGTCCCCACGTGCTCGCCAAAGGACTTATGCTCCAAAGAAGAGAGGTAGAGAGAGAGAGAGAGAGAGAGAGAGAGAGAGAGAGAGACAGAGTCATTGTCGAAATCCCCTTTTGTGTGAGAACCGAGTTTTTCCCGACGAGCTTGAGAATTCGGTACCGACTAAAGGTGTCCAGTGCTCTTCTTCGCGAGAAGAACACTCTCGGGAGTGGGAGCCAACGACGAAGGGAATATTCATTATCCTACCGTTATACCGGCTCGTCGGGACCGGAGAGTAATGTCTGAAGAGGTGTCGCGTCTTAAAAATTTAAAAGGCTACGTATCGCGCGGGGGCTTTAACGGAAGAATAATCGTCGCTCTCGGATGACGCTCGCCGGCTCGCTTAATTTCATTTCAAATGATTTCATTACAGAGGATATACCGCGAGAAATGTGTATGACAAGAGACCGTGAAAGTCTTATATATATATATATATATATATATATATATATATCTCATGTACTTTGCAATCCTGCGCGGTTCCCCGCGCGCCAACATAAAATCGCCCGAGAGTATTTAACGTCGAGAAATAAAGTATCTCACCGCGCTATGAATTTAATCTCGAAAACACGAATATATAATTATCTCATTTTTATGGAACAAATGTAAATTAAGACTTAACTCGGGAACTAAAAACTTGTGTTAGATTTTGTGTGAAAAGGTTTTACCGATTAAATAAATATATAATAAGCATAACCAGATAAAAAGAATTTAATGTAAACAAGTAAGATGTATTCTATATTTTATATATTCCGATCTCTAAAAATTTGTATACTAGATATTTATCCGGCCGTAGAGTTCGCGACGAAACCGTATTTCTCTATATACGTGCCGGCTATATAGGATGCTATAGAAAAGAATTATTGCCTACCACACGGTGAGAGATCACCCGTTTTCGCGCGCAGACGGACGATTCTCCAGCGTACCGCTCTTATTCTTCTTTATTTTCTCCATTTTATCAACGGAAAAGGAGGAGGAGGAGACGAGAGATGAGGGAGGGGGGAGGAAGAGGAAGGTGCGCGACTAGAAAAAGAACGTAACCACATTAGCAACCAGCCACTAGTTCCCCGAGAAATGGTCCTGGACGGAAAAAGGTCCACAAACCTCTCGGACGATAAATGCTTGTGTATGTGTAATTCCGCGGCAAAACGGTCGACAGTTTTAATCACGCGCGAAAGACGTTTTTGTTTTTAAGAAAAACGCATTCACCCGAGAGAAAATGTCCCGCGGAAATACGATAATAAGAACCCATGTAGCGCAAAATATTGGAATGCGTAATTAAGGAATTACATCTGACCCCTAAGTAAAATTGCGATGTAATTTGTGTGCGTGTGGTGACATTTTCGCTTTCGAAAAAAATGAGATTTTCGCCTTTATTAAATTTTTTTTTCGCGCTATTCACCTATCCCTATATATTCGCGTCGTTTTCGACGCGGGTCCCTTTGGCTAGTCGCGATATAAGTGGCAATATATTCGCGCTCGGTTCCCAGCGCAGAGAGATCCATTTCCGGGAGATTTGATTTTAAAAATCTAGCGTTTCTCTCCGCAAGATCCCGCACAAGCACGAGGTTTGGTAAAACACGCCCGTGGCGGCGATGTACCGATACGCCACGAAATGCACGTGCATTTTCACGCTGCATCAGCGGGTAATGGGCGACGAGAGCGCGGCGGTATCAGAGATCCGGCGCGAAGGGTAGATAGAGTGTACGGAGGGGAAGAGAGGGATCGCGGGTCGCCGATTCGCCTGAGAAGAGAGGAGAAAAGTTAATTCCGACGATTTCTAGAAATTCGTGGAAATATCGTTGCCCGCCTGGTTGGAGATCCGCGCGCATATTGGCTTTATTTGCACATTTCGTTTCACCCCGCTCGCTCGCGTCGTGCCTGCTCTTCTCTCTCTCTCTCTCTCTCTCTCTCTCTCTCTCTCTTTCTTCTCGCACCCTCTCGCCGGCGCATCTCAATTTTATCGTCACGTACATGCCACCTTTTCTCCTCTCTCCTCCTTCCTCCTCCGCCTGGTTCTCCTACTCTCTACTCTCCTCTCACCACCCAATTCACGAACCGGCGTCTAACCGGGGGTAGGAAAGGGAGGAGGATGCCTGGCATCGGGACTCGGGACGCCACCCGAGGAACCCCCAATTTCCGACGCCCCGTCGGACGACGAAAAGGGTGGAACGAACGCGACCCACGTCTCGTCACCGCGCAAACGGTAGTCCCTCCGACTCACGACCTCTCTTCTAGCTTGCTTCTCTCGTTTCACGTCTTCTCCCCGATGCCCATTCCTCGGCTTCGTTCGCCGAGCTTTTTAACTTCCCCCCCCCCCCCTCTTCCACCCTTCTTTTCCCGCTTCCTCTGTTACCTCTCTGTACTTGCGAGCTGTCGAGGAAATCGCGCGCGTTACTTCGGCACGAATGTTTACGGACGAATCCGTTGGGGTGCCTCACCGATATTTGAGAAACGCGAATTTTTCAGTAATCTTTCAGCGCGGCATGTGTACACTTTGAATTGGTCATGTACGCGTGATTTGATCCAAAGATATTTCTCATCAAGAATCGTACAATAATTATCAGATACGTCCAATTATTATTAAAATTATTTTTTCTTAAATCTATATCACAACATAAAGCATATTTAATAGTCGCGTATATTAAAAGTGATACACGAAACAACGTTGTGTGTTTCAATCATAAAAGATGATACTCTCAGATTAGATCCTATCTAAAATCAACATATCGGTGAGATAACACCCGACGTGTGTTATCTCGATATGTATCGAGATAACAATGGGGCGCGGTATAGATGTAATAAGATTTTGGGTCACTATATTCGCTTAACGATTACATGGTTAATATAACTGAAGATGCAAATGCGGCGAATTAATCACACATTTTGTGCCAACATTCATTATAGCGGAATATGTGAGTGGAGTGTGTATACATGCAAGCGGGTATATCTCTAGAGAATGGCATATGCGACCTAAGCGTCGTTCCCAAGCATCTCTGTTACATATTGATGTATGAGTGTGTGCTTAGATTGAGAGTGATTAGATTTAGGGAGAGAGCCTGTCTCGAACGTTTCGTGCACCTTAACCGCGAATCAGACGCATCATATTGAATAAGTAAAATAATTGGATGAATCTAATACTTATAAGATAAAGTAATTGGATTTTATTTATGTCATTACCTATATGGCAATTTTCTTCTCGCAGAATTTCCCTATCGGGGGAAATTTTAATTTAATTTAATTTAATTATTCGATAAACGCGTTTAAAATCTTATGATAGTAAATAAAGTTAACCGGTCATAATAGAATCAGCAGGGTGAATCGCATTACAACACAGCCATTGTTCATAGACTTGAAATAAGTTTGATCGTCCATTATGCATGTACTTTTACTTCCCTATGTCTTATTTTCCACTTTCTGCCTGTGGTAACTTCTTAATAATCATCCATCTTCCGCTTTCAACGCTACGTCACTTTGCCCCGCTTTAGTTTCCCTTCCCCTTTTTCTCCGACTTTCTTTTATGTATGAATATAACGGAACTCTTGTGTTATACGGGATGTATCTCGCATTAAATGTATTTACTTTGACTTATGGATTCTCTTTGATTAATTTTAATGATCGATTTTTTTCCTACAGAAAATTTGTTGCGTAGAAATGTTTTCTACAATTTGTTTTATATTTTAAATGTATGTACTTTTCTCAGTAATTAATCATTAAATTAAAATTCTTTTAAAGTACACTTTAAATTATTCGAAGAATAAACTTTTGTTATTCATTAGCAAGTCCAAAGTTTTACTTAAAAAAAAAAATCTTTCATCTTCAATTTTTTATAACATAAAACTGTGATTAATATCTCGACAATTTTGGTAAAAAGAAAATTGGCAAAGAAAAATTTTCAAGTCAAAAAAGCGCAGTTAATGTATGGTTACATTAATGACGATTCATTTTCTTTATTTATTGATAATCATGTAATATACGCGTAAAAAATATTTGATAGAGATGAAATTTGTGCATAATTAAATTTTTTCTTGTTTCGACAATTTGTGAATTATAAATTAATTAATTGCATATCATAAATTAATAATTGCGGACTAATATGTAATTTCTAAAATTCAATGTGTCGCGTGAGCGTAAATTTGCAGTAATTAACTGCAGAATTAAATCATTGTAAATTCTCACATGTACTTACAGTATTGACGGTACCCGGATACGACGTCAGGGTAAACAGACAGCCCGTCATAGAGGGATGCAACGCGGTGTTATCCTGTACAGCCCGGGAAGACGTTAAGGAACACCTGACCGTAACTTCCTGGTTCCGTGACGACGCTATTCTCTTACCTGGAAATACAGATACCGGTGAGTTACGTCTCGCGCGTTTGCTATTTTAATTTAAAGTAGTCCGTGCTAAATCTTCTCGAGATCAGCTTCTGTTTGAGAATGTCGACGATGCTTACCCGCGTATACGGATACCCGCATACGCGCGTATCACGCGCCGTTAATTCTTCGTTTCGTATTCAAACTCACGATATATAATATAATTTAACACGATCGCATCGATCCATCAATTCATCTGTCAATTCTCGACTTTTTAATGTATACTTTAATGTATCAAAATTATCCTACGAGTATAAACATGTCGATGAATCGTTGACATCGTGGTTAAATCGAGTAGAAAAATATATGACGCAATATAATCGAGATTAAAAGTGAGCATAAATAAAGAAACAGTTAAGGACAAATCCAAAACGTATAATAATTCATGACTCATTACAACCTCTCACGCAGCTTCAATTACATGTTAGCGTTATTTAAAGGGGAAAAAAGAATGTATTACATTTTTTTGCATATTATCTTGTGAATTACACAAGAAGAAAGCTTGGCTTAAAAAGGATTAACACAATTACGACCGCTAGATGAAGCGAGTAGAGAGCGCATAGAGCGTAAAATGCTTGATCTCGCGGACCAACATCCGGCGTGCGCGCACACAAGCGTATCTTCACACACACACACACGTGGACGCACGGGCTTCGCACGTACGTGCGCTAACTCGGTCTGGTTTAGATCGTCCTGTACACGCTCAGGCATTCATGTCCCATACATATTTATGCCGCTCGGTTGCACGTAACGGGGGGAGAGGGGGGGAGGGATAGGGGTGAAAGGGGTACCGATGGGTTGGCGTAACTATATATGTATATATACATACATACGTATGTACGGTGTGTGCCGTTGGAATATCATGGGAGGCATCGCGTCATGTCGGGGCTTGATACGTTTGTTTCGTAACTAGGCGGCTAACATTGCGCGTCGCCGTATGTAGGAAAGCCAGCATCCGCAGCACATCGGGGGGTTGCGCGCTTATATAATACGGCGCCTCCGACGTGCCGTCGACGTGTTTCTCGCGGTTATCGCCGCGCCAGGCAACGGTCCGTATCGCGCGTCTCGAAGATGACGACGTCGATTCCGCGACGTCCGTCAAGCGGTCGTGCCAAGGATGTCGGCGAGAGGGAGGAATGAAACGTCAACCGTGACATAAACCGGAGTCGCATATACTCGTAAAAACTCTTGCGAATTGATGCGAGATCCTCTGCGAAAGATGCGGGGAGATCATCTCTGGCCTTTTCCCTCCTTTTCGCACGGATAACTAATAGAACTAAATTGTTTTCATTCAATGTAAAACAGACTTTACATAATTAATATTTAAGATACTCATGTTGATTCCTATATATTATGGGAATTCTACTCGAATATTTATTAAATAAGTACATACGACTCCAGAGCGATGTTGGAATCTCGCTCAATGGATGCAGTGCCGATTGTCACGGAGAGACGAAATCCCCAGCACGTCTCCAGAGCGGTCCATGTTGATTCCTATATATTTTGGGAATTCTATTCGAGTATTTATTAAATGTTCATTTCTAATATCGTAATAAAATTCATGAAAAATGTTATCCGAACAAAAAAAAAAAATTATTTTCTATAAAAAAAATTAAGAGGTATGTAATAGTATACCTGTGTAATGTACCGTCTTCACAATAACCATTATGTCGTAATGTCGCGAATATCGCACTCTGATTCGAGGACATGAGATTCCGGTTGTACGGGAAGAACATGACGTTTCTATCATTGATTCGAGTACACACATACACGCATAACGGTATCGAATCTATGACAATGGTTCTTGTTAGACATCATAGGGTGGAGAACTATTCGGAAACCGTGGTGAATACATCTTGCAGCGCAGTTCCAGCGATATATCGTCATTAGAATTATACGAGTTATTCGGACCGCGACTAACAATAAGAAGGAATATTGTTCGTAGATATTAATGAAATTTAGCATAATTTTAGAGAAAAGTAAAATAAATGTTTGATATTTTTATATACGTCTTTTCGATAAATATTCTTATTAGAATTTTAGAAATGAAGCTAATTCTATAGGATTTTCATCTCTCTTAAAACATAATCAACTAGCAAAAACAATCAATAAAAATAATAAATTCATTGTGTAGAAATGAAATAATATGCGTAATGAGATATTGAAATGGAATAAATCGCAATCTTTCATCTTTTGAACAATAACAATGGGAAAGTAACGATGTAACAAAAAGACCAGTCTCTCAGCGAAGGAAATATTTCTTTGACATTAATTATCCTCGACAAGAGACAGCGGGGCGTGAAAATTCGTAATGCTACAGGCGTGATGGAAAAAAGAAAAATTCTGGCAGGTCAATCCGAAATAGTCAGAGACGGCTTTAGCAAGTCGGTAGACCGAGCTGCTCGATGGCTGTCCGATGGTTGAGCCAAATTGAAAATTTCACGCCTGATGGATACGCGGCCGTGATACGAAGGGGTTTCATCGACAGATGCTGAGAATTTTGCATAAACCTTTGCTCTCTCTCTCTCTCTCTCCCCCTTTGCAGACTTGAAATACGAGAGAAAATATTGCTGGGCAAAATCGCGCGCGCGCACGTTCAGGGATTTATTATTGATATTTCCCAGCTTCTGAATTCTGAGAAGCCAAACGGTATTTTCGCTCAGTCTGCCGCGATATAGAAGAAAGTGGAATAAATCGCGAAGTCAAGAGAAGCATTTCTTCATCGCGGTAGTGACGAGAGAAATCTTTATTCAGGAATGTAGCATGCTCGTGAAACTGTACACTGAAATTTTTGTACCTTTAATCTCCCTGTAGATGCGTATCCCTCTCAAGTCACTCGCTTTATCCGTACCGGAAGCTCATTAGTTTCAAAAGGATTCACAGATATTTCGACATCGAGACATCAATAATTCTTGAATTTAAATGATTGAAAATTAAATAGGATTTTGACAAATTATTTTTTGCAAAATCTCTTTTGCGAAATCTCTTTTTAATTAATTTCTAGATAATTTAAGAAAAGGGGCACTCCCTCTTTCTCTCATTTACTTTCTACAATTTTCGATACAATTTCGGTATAAAAAAAACTCGATATTAATTTTGTCAGAGAATCTGTAGCCGAGAGGAAGCGTCTGAGACACGTTGTTATTCGACCTGTATATATGACCCGACTTTGTTCACAGGCGGAAGATTCGTGGTTACCTCGCAGGGTGATCTTCATATTAGGGCCGCCAGACCAGAAGACGGCCGAGTGACGTATTCGTGTTTAACCCTGCACGCCTTGACCAGCGAACGAAGAAGAAGCGAACCCGCTACTTTAACAGTTACGGGTAACCGGATACATTCCTTTTGCGAAATAAATTCGAAGGATTCGTTAAAAAATTTAGCTTCCGTTTCGTAATAGCCAGAAGAAGAGAGATTTCTAATTTTTTACCGTTTATTTATATGATCTCTTACGATTTTCTATCATCTTTTGATCTTATTTCTAGAACCGCCTGGTTCCTTGTCGCCGCGACTGATGCAACGATCCGAGATCGCTATTTCCGCCGAAAGCGGCTCCGACGTTCACCTCACGTGCTCGGCGCAAGGAAGCCCGCCACCGCAATTTACCTGGTATCGCGATGTTAATGGTTGGTTTAATTAGGGGAATGTTTACCGAATAAGCTATGTTAACGATAGCGCTGAACAAACTACCATCCATGTTCAAACATCGATTCCTCGATAGCGCGGATACCGTATTACGTTTAGCAGGCATCGTCGTGCGATGAATATTACACCGAGAAAGAGAGGAATAAGATGCTATATACTTGAGATAGGTATTGCCGTTGTAATATTGATAACGGATGCCTTTTATCAAACTAGAGAAGAATCTGCTTGCTTTCTTTTTAATCAGATGCCTCTCTTTTTACACGTAGAATGCTATCCGGGGTTCAATGTTCGATGTGAATCTAATCTAGTACTCCAAGTACAATTATCGAAGTAACTTCGCAGACATGATCGTTACAGGACAGATACATCCGAATGTCTTGTCGCAGGCCACTCGATACCGGTCGAGTCGTCGTGTAGACGCGCAGGACGCTGGAAGATACGTTTGCCGGGCCAGCAATCAACTCGGCGAGCAACGAGCGGAGACGCACTTGTCGGTCACTTCAAAGCTAAACGCTCGGATTCAGCCGCGCGTACAGGTACGGACAAACGTATAATTCGGTCTACAGATGGATATTTTTTTCTTTCAAAAAAAATGCATAAAGTTTTATATCAACGGAATAAAATTGTTCAACGACTAATACAACGACAGAACAGTTCGTTGTACATGAAAAGAGAGATTTTCTTTGAAATTTAAAAATCAACGTAAGGGAAGAAAATTTTTACAATATTTTGAAAAATGATTAAGCTTCTATCGCGCAAAATCGATATTGTCATTCAACGAGAATCGTTTATATCCCCGATAAGCTCGGATTAATACAAATCTGATAATACAAATCAGATATTAAATCCCCTTACAAATCATAGTATTTCACTGTAAATGTGAAAGTAGGTTAAGCTAAATAATTTGTTTGATTACGTGTAAGTTACAGTTTCATTTATGGTAATTAATAAACCAGTAATATCAATAATATAAAATTACTATTTATATATATCGCAAAGTGATGATTGAATAATGACTACCCGATAAATTTATCAGAACGAATATATCAAAAATTGTGCACCCAAAATGTGGCATCGAATATAACTCGACAAGTATAAGCGCCAAAGGCGATAAAAAAGATAGCACACTCCCTGGGAGGATTTAAAAATGATTCCTTATCAAGACTCGCATATTGCATTATACATAGACGCAAATAAATGATCCGACTATGAGATAGATGCGCTCATCGTCATTCGCAGGTCGTTAATTCCGGCGAGACTGCCACGATGAACTGCACGGTCGAGGGATATCCGGTCGAGAGCGTTGAGTGGCTACACGATGGTGTGCCAGTATTGACCGCGCAGGACACGAGGATCAGATTGTTGGCTCCCTTGGTGCTCGTGATAGGCTCCGTCGGTCGCAGGGACAAAGGGATGTATCAGTGTTTGGTGAGGAGTGACAAGGAAAATGCTCAGGCCACCGCCGAACTAAAGCTCGGAGGTCAGCGAATGTTTTTAAAACCCATTATGTATCCCGCTCCTCTCATTCGGTCACGTGTTTCCATCTCTCTATGTACTTAATATATCTTTAAATTTTTACTCTGGTATCGATATCGTACTGATTATCGTACTGACTTTTTCGTTGTTTTTTTTTATCCTTGTAAAATAACTGTTTCCTCTGAAAAACAAAACAAAATATCTCGTTCCGGCCCGTCCTTGCCTCGGAATGTCTTTGACAAAGACGACTTTTTCTAGATACGGTTCCGGAACTGCAGTACACGTTTATCGAGCAAGCGCTACGACCGGGACCTCCGGTTTCCCTGCGATGTTCCGCTACCGGTTCACCGACGCCATCCTTTACGTGGTTACTCGACGGTGAACCATTGAGTCAGATTGCGACCGGACACAGGTAGGATCGTGCACCATATATTCTAGTATTGATGCGTTATGTTCGCGCTATCTTCTAATCGGGAATTAATACGCGCAGATACGCGATAGGCCAATATGTGGATCAATCCGGTGACGTGATCAGTCACTTAAACATTTCATCCGCGGGAACTGAGGATGGCGGTCTCTACGCTTGCGTAGCATCCAATACTCTGGCGACTGTCGAGCACAAAGCTAGATTGAATATTTACGGTACGATACACATGTTATATATGCGGATAATGATTTTATATTAAATATATAAATGTACAAGCACACTAAGATAAATATGAAAGCACGGAATAAAAATTTCATTGGATAAACTTGTGTGTTTTCGCGAAATTGATATATTATAAATCTTTCTATATTAAATCAAATATCCTAATTTCTTATAGACTTATCAAAGTTATACATGTATAAATTATATTAACAACAGTTTCATCGTCAATATAAGTTAAAAACTTAATGACAAAGAAGAACCCCGAATAAGGACAAGAATTGTGATTAGCTTGTAGAAGCGAGTTCAACTCAATAATTCTATAATAAGAAACTATTTTTAGGACCGCCATACATCCGATCGATCGGCCCAGTTCGCGCCATCGCCGGTGTCGACATCACAATAGCGTGTCCTTACTCAGGATATCCGATCACATCGGTCGGATGGACTCGAAATAATGCCGAGTTGCCTTTTGACATCAGGCAGCGGGTCGACAGTGAGGGCCACCTTACAATCCTCACGGTAGATCCGAACGATGCCGGTACCTTCACGTGTATAGTTCGAGCAAGTTCCGGAGAAACCGCCAACAGAGATATACTACTAACTGTGAATAGTAAGTGCAAACGAGCGAGTGATCAAAGTAATTAAACGATATAGTTAATTAGATAAATGAAATTTATGTATTTTCGAGGACGTTAAATATCGCTTCTTTAAAAGACAATCTATTTTTTTAGAAACTCTTGTAACAGTTTTCATTGTGAAAAAATAAATGATGTGGAAAAATATGAAATTATGAAAGAAATGGCGATATATGTAACGGGACAATGAATGTAACGCTTTAGCCTTTTCGCATTTTGCAGGTCCTCCCGTAATGAGTCCCTTCAGTTTCCCCGCGAATTCGCAAGAAGGAAGTCGTGCTCAAGTAACGTGCAGCGTGACATCGGGCGATCTTCCAATCTACATTTCCTGGTTGAAAGATGGCGAGCCACTGCCTTCCTCCCTTCGCGTAAGTATATTATTTCAGTCCGCAAAGTTTACACGAAGAGAGTTCGATAATATCTCCCATATTGTATACCGTTTCTGCAATCAAAGCAAAAACGTAAAATAAACTGAAATTTTAAAACTATGCACATATTTTATCTACAAAAAACAATTTTCTATAATCTTTTTATATGTGTTTTCGACGTATTTCTCCTCTTGAAAATACGTATTCCCTAGTAATAAGAGTCCTACGAGAGACTCATCCTCCGTGAATAATGCTCTTTAAACAAATGTGAATCTAGTGGGATTAAATTTTAAATTTGCAGTATATAAGAGAATTTTATACCAGAATTTATATCGACTTTACAATATGCAGAAAGAGAATTTCTTTTGTTTCTCATTTCTCTTTTGATTCGGAAATGATACATTTTAAATCAAAATAATACTTTTCTAATCAAAATAATATATATATATAATGTAATACTTTCCATATTTCACATAAATCCTATTTCTACTGTCCTTGCAGATCGAAGAGCGAGGCGCCGAATTCTTCAGCCTGCTCGTCTTCAAGGAACTGTCATCGCGACACAGCGGCAAATACACCTGCGTGGCCACGAATAGCGCCGCCAAGGTCAATCATACAGCGGAACTTTTGGTAAAAGTACCACCTCAATGGATATTCGAGCCGCAAGATGTGGCGACCCTTCTGGGAAACCCACTGAATGTCCATTGCGAGGCTAAGGGTTTTCCGCCGCCGCGTATTACGTGGCTCCGTGCCAAGGGCAGAACGTCCAACGATTATCAGCCGTTGGTCGATGGTTCTGACGGTAGACTCACGATATTGCCTAATGGGTCTTTGTGGACGGCTTCGGCTGGTCCACAGGATGAGGGTTACTATCTCTGTCGAGCTAATAATGCCATCGGATCGGGACTAAGCAAAGTGATATACGTGTCGGTGCATGGTAAGAATATAAAAAAAAAAATTTCTATTACAAAATGTAAACTAAATTATATAGCGGCGGAGATTTAATACAAAATGACAAAATTTTGTTAAATCTGAGTAATGCGCGAGAAATTTTTCCCCAATAATATAAAAATTTAATAGAATTCACAGAATTGTCGGATTTATATTTTTAAAAAACGTCATTAAATAAATAGGAAATAATGTAATCTTTTTTCGGATATACATATAACATTCTTTTCTCAAATAATCAAAATGTCCAAGAATCTATTTCGGCTGTTAGTAGCAACATTTTGTTTTGAAAATATGATAATATCAGAAAATTATTAAATTTAATGAAGAAGAATCACAACTAAATCTGAAAATGTTTCCTGCATTTTCGCAGAACCGGCGAGATTCGAGTTTCAAAGTAAAAACGTTACGATTCGTCGTGGAGAATCCGTGACGATCGACTGCACTGTGATCGGCGATAATCCTATAGAAGTACAATGGATGCACAACAGCGATCGATTGGACATGAGCAATCATAGATTAAGCATCGGTCAAATAAAGACCGACAACGGTCTGAAATCTCAATTATCTATCGCGAATAGCGATCGGCAAGATTCCGGGGTTTATCGGTGCACCGCTGATAACGCTTACGGAAGAAGCGAACATTTGATTTATTTAGCAGTCCAAGGTGAGATTGCTATTGAATATTTCTCAATCTTTTAATTTTGTAAACTTGTATCAATTTTTAACAATAATTACATTCTAATGATAGCGTGTGCGATAAGAAAAGATTTTGCTTTATATATATATTTTTTTTTATCACAGAGAGACCGGATCCTCCAGCCGGACTCGAGGTAATAGAAATCGGTTCTCGATCGATACGGCTATTATGGAAGCGGGCTTTCGACGGAAATAGCCCTATAAGAAATTACGTGATACAATATCGCTCTCTGAGCCACGGCATGACCGACGATTGGAATCCCGTTAAAACGCACAACGTCACGTACACGCCAGGAAGCTCCAATAGCGGTAATTCTATACATCCAACTCAAAACGGTTCGTCCCACATGCTCCGATCGATATCGCGTCTCTATTCGCTTATCCTCGTAACTCGTATCAATTCTACTAGGCTTATCTCCGTTCGAAACCACCGCCGATGATCAAGAGGTAGCGCTAATTGGTGGTCTTCATCCGGCTGTCACCTATACATTTCGAATATTCGCTATAAACTCCATCGACGCGAGCGGACCCACGGAACCCGTCGTAGCGAAGACTCAGGAAGAAGGTAAAACGCCTCGTGTGGCAATACGATTATACCGAAGTCTTATAACCATATCGTATAACCATTGCTCTCTGTATAACAGCACCTACAGAATCGCCGCAAAATATTAAAGTGCAATCCGCCGGACCCGGAGAACTCATTGTCAGTTGGCAAGTAAGTAAAGTCTTAATGTAGTTTTAATGTTAATATTTTTAAATCGTACTATTAAATTATATAATTTTAATCGTGTTAAAAAAAGAGAGTGAAATGGATCGTAAAAGAATGTCATCAAACATGTTCATTTTTTCAGTCGCCTCCGAAAGAATCGTGTAATGGAGATCTGCTGGGATATATAGTAACGTGGTCGGAACATTCGTCGTCGACCTCGGGTGTTAATCAAAGTAAAAGTTTAACTGTGAATGGTTGGGCGACGACAAAGGTGCAGCTTACCGGTCTGAGAAAATTTACGAAATACGACATTTCAATCAGAGCTTTCAATAGCATAGCCAGTGGACCAGCTAGCGTTCCTATCGTGGGTACTACTCAAGAAGGAGGTATGAGCTCGAGAAGAACGAGAAGAATAAAATTGTATCTATAATAACTGTGCGCGTGTGTGTGTGTGTGTTCAAGTATGTTCAAATATATTTACATATTTAATTCAATAATAATTTAAACTCAAATTTGTTTTATAGTGCCAGAAACGCCACCGACTCAAGTGACATGCGCTCCATTGTCCTCCCAAAGTGTCAAAGTATCCTGGAACGCGCCGCCACCTCATCAGCACGGTGGAATTATCCAAGGATACAAAGTCTATTATAGGCCGGTCCCTACCGATAACAGTAAGTCGCTCGCCATCGGAATACTGATAATTTCTTGCATTCGTAAGAAATTAATTTCGTAAGATATTCACGTTTAATTTATTTTTTCTATCGCAGTGGATATATCGACGGTCGGTGAAATAAAAAGAACTTCCAGTATGGAGACTTATTTGCACACACTGTACAAATACACGAATTATTCCATCAAGGTGTTGGCTTACACGGGCGCGGGTGACGGAGCGCTGAGTCTACCGATCTTTTGCATGACAGAAGAGGATGGTGAGATATTTAATTTAAATTCAGTAAAATGAAAGAAACTCTAGTTATCTTGATAATAAGATAAACGATTTACGCGACGACGATTCCCCGCATGTTTTTTTTTATAGTTCCGGGCCCGCCTGCTGGTATCAAGGCGTTGGCGTTAACGGCGGAGAGCATATTGGTTTCTTGGTTGCCGCCGTTGCAACCTAACGGAAATGTTTCAAAATACACTGTATACAGCAGAGAAGCCGGTTCTAATAATCACAATGCGCACACGATGCATGAACCACCATTATCGCCCACGGATACTCTTACAATGGAATTACGGGATCTAGTGGAAAGGTACGTGCACACTGAGACACTTCAGTATTCATATCTCTCTCGGGATTGCGATTTTTTTGCGAATCGATTGTTAATATTTTCAGAAAATCGTATGAATTCTGGGTGTCAGCAACGACCGGTCTTGGAGAAGGGGAACGAACTACCATAGTTACGCAAACAACGAATACTAGAGGTACTTTTAGAATTTAGCTGTTTAATTTATATTGCATGTCTTATATTTTGCCGAATATACCGGTTCTCATACAACAAAATTTTTCCATCGCATAAGAGCATACTCATTCCGTAGCTCCCGCTAGAGTGGCATCGTTCTCGCAAGTATTAAGAAGGGCTGTAAAATCATCGGTTATGCTGTCGTGTTTGGTGGTGGGAAATCCTACGCCGCGACCTATTTGGACATACAGAAATGGTCAAATTACCACCGGTAGACATTACGAACTTACACCTGACGGACATCTCAATATACGTGGTAAGTTCCATTCTTTTTTAATTTAATTTCCCCTCTCCTCTGTCGTTTACAGGAAATTATTACACTTATTAGTCTTTCGAGAGAAGAAAATGACGGAATCTCTGTAAATTCTCATCATTTAAAAAATTTCTCGGTCGTATTTTTCAGGATTGGAACAATCGGTCGCGGGAAATTATACTTGCTCGGCTAGTAATTTATTCGGTGATGATTCTATCACGTATTCGTTAGTCGTGGTGATGCCACCCAAAGCACCGTTGTTGGAATTACAATATACGACAACTAATAGTATCAGATTCCGTTGGAATCATCCCGACAACGGCGGTGCTACTATACAAGGTAATAATTAAAAATTTAACTAATAACGAATCACATCTGTATATATGTGTAGTATATTAATTCTTTTTTATCAGGATATGTATTAAGTTATAAAAGGGATCAAGGTGGATGGGAAGAAATCGCTTTATCTCCCGAACAAACGGAATTTGTACTACCTGGATTAAAATGTGGTTCTTCCTATCTAGCGCATTTAACGGCACATAATCGCGTCGATACCGGTGATCCAAGCCCGTTAATAAGCGCAACAACGAAAGGCACCGGTAAATAAAATATTTTGCAAGAATAAAATATATATATTAACATTATTAATCTTGTCAAATTTAAAAAAATATATTAAAATATATATACTATTGAGAATCTGTCAAGTCTTCATTAATATAATTTAATTATTAAAAAAATGTAGCAGCATTTTAAGCGTATCTCTCTGTCATTCTATATTTCAGAACCTCTATTACCTAAGGAAAGAGATATTATCTCGGCAAACGGCACATCAGTGAAACTGAATTTATTATCTTGGCCTAACGGAGGATGTCCTATTCAGCATTATACCGTCGAATATCGCAAGCGAATCAACACGGAACCTTGGATTTTGGTGGCCAGCAGAGCGACTGATAATCTCGTAATTCGTGATTTAAAGACGGCATCGTGGTACAGTTTACGTTTAACAGCGCACAACGATGCTGGCTCGACTCGGACACAAATGGAATTCGCCACGACTACGTTGAGCGGAGTCAGTATTGGTCCTCCTAACGATTTGATAATGGAGGACGAGATCAGAAAAACTGTACCCAATCACAAAGTTTTATATGTCGTTGTTCCGCTCATTTGCGCAATCGTTTTAGTCGTTTCTGCTGTTATTCTGGGATATGTCATGCTCAAACGTAGCGGAAGGTAAGACATAAGACCTTTCGAGTTCTCGAAATTTAATTTTGCATCAGCATCAAGTTTTCATTAATCGCGTCTTTGACAGAGCAAACTACCTTGGTGAAATATTACCGAGCCAGCAGCAGCAACAACAGGCAGGATTAGGAATAGTTCAACAACAACAGCACCAACAACAGCATCATCATTTGTCCAGCTGTATGTCGACCGTGCAACTCAAATCGACGGCTGAACGTGACAACAGACGTAATCATCAGGTTTACACTAGTTCGCCCGTAAAGCAAGAAAATCACAAATCTACCGATCATGGATCAGGTATATATCTATGTAACGATAAATTATTCATTTCCTGAATGCAAGTTCCTAAATCGCCTCGATATACTTTGCAGAAATGTACGAGATAAGTCCGTACGCTACATTTAGCGTTCCCGGAAGAGAGAATCGTTCGGTAACAACGGCAACGCTCGATTACACGATGCAATTCAAGACGTTTGGTCACTTGGAGAACGAGGATATCAATACTATCGATTACGAGAGATCTAGCGTGGAGTTTGAAAGGTAATTGGCTTCTTCCAGAAAGGGAGTGTCGCTCCTTAGTTTGTCGGCTCTTCATAAAACTAATTCTCATTTCGCTTTTACGCCTTTTGTTTTTCTCCCCTTCTCTTCCTCTTTCTGGTGTTCTTTCACGCGCAGGTCAAAAACACCAAGGTGGCACAAGCAACGTTACTTTCCGAGTATTGCGGAAGCCGAGAGCAAGCTACGATCAAATCGACAAGGCTCCGGCAGCGATACATCCGGAAGTCCTTGCGGCGAATGCGCCGGGCCTAGTTATAGAGTGCCAGTAAAGCCTTGTAGAGGTAATGTATAATCTATAACAAGAATATACAAATAATTATATTTATACATTCTTGAGATAGATTAATATTAAAAGAATAATTATTTAGAAATGATTTATGTCGAGGAAGAGCAGACCACGTATGGATAAACCATGATATTCACCGACATGATTCTTTACAGATGTATTTTCGCGAGGTGTGGAATCAAGTACGGAATCTAACAACGAAGGTTCGCCCTCACTCGCGAGACGACGAAGCCGACAACCGAGCCGGTCTACTCGCAGGTAGCCAAGGTTTGTTTGTTTCCACATAGCACTCAGTCTTGACTTTTCGATATCGGTCTCTCATTGGTTTCACATCGACTCGAGAAAGAGGCGTAATAATGCGAATCATTCTACGTAATTAAAAATTTTCTTACGAGACACAAATACTGATATATTTATGTCACGACTATTATTGGAAGAAATACATTCCGAAGATGGACATTGAATTCGCGTCATTGCGCTTTATTCAGCCTCATATTCTATAATCTATACAATAAGAAAAATGAAATATATCAGGAGATGTTCTAATATACGGTACTATTTATAAGAAAATAATTGTGTGACGATTTCCTTTATCATCAGAAAATTCAATTTTATCTTTGCATGATTAACGATTGTCCACGTACATGTATAAAATGTATAATCTTACTTTATATATTGAATTTAAGAATGACAACATCAGAGAGAAAGATATATTCTTGATAATGAAATCATTAATCAATAAACATCCTAAAACGGATAATTTAGCAAATAAATATTTCGGCTGAATCGGATGAATCAGATTAAATCGAAGCTGCGTTTTATCAATCTTTCTATTCAAACGACGATCTCTCACAATTTTTTAGACGATTTCTCATTTGACCTGGTAAATGTATTCTTTTATCTATTCGACAGTTCGGTGGAGGACATGACGCTATTGCCGCCAAGCGGGTTCAGCGACAGCCGTGAATTGAGTGACGTAGAGTGCGACCGTGATCGTGATCGTGAACGCGATCGTGAATGGCAAGGTCTGTCAACCGGAACCCGTCACGGCGGCAGTTTGGGCAGACTCCCGATCGAGGCCGTCGAATCTATGCTCGCTAGGTATCGACACGAGTCTCCGTAAACCAGGCATGTTAAGCACCAAGTAGTTGAGACCAGTTGAACCCTCGAAAATTGCAAGTTCGTTTGTGTATACCGGATGTTTTAAGTGACGTGCACCGTCGCTATACATTGTAATGAAACTGAAACAAGAAAGTATGATAATAGTTTAGATATTGATATTTTTCACGCAGCGGTATCTCTCTCAACTAGATGATATATAATATTTCGTGAAACCTCAACTTGACTTTTAATTATCTCGAAGATAGTTAATATCGATTATAAGTAAAAAAAACGAAAGGTGGAACATTTAGAGGGCACTCTCTGCATAAGTTGAAAATATTATCATAATTACTGATTTATTTATGAAAAATACTGCTTCATCGATTATCGTTTTCGATTTCAAAATATCGAACGAGAAAAAAAAACAATGAGTATTGCAAGAATACATAAACAATCAAATTATTATTATATATTTTTGAGGACGGATGCGCATTGTCTGTTACAGATATCAGCAAAGAAAGGAACAAGAAAGACAAGAATTTACTATACACGTATGATCGAGATTCGCTGGTTCGACTTGGTATCTTCGCCGGACGATTTAATGTTACTTAGAAAGAGGGATGACAAATCTCTTCTTAAAATTATCGTCAACTAAGTATCGTTGACGGAAATTTTTCGGAATCTTAAAAAGAATGGTAGAGTTTAATATATGTCAAAGACAATTTAATTGATGAAGTGAAGAAAAAGTGAGAAAGAGAGAGGAAGAATGACAGAAAAGACTCTCAGGTCTATTCGTCGAAGAGAAACGTCTCAACTACTGCTACATCTGCATTGCACCAGAAAAAATACTGCCGTTAATATATATAAAACAAGGCCTTCGTACACACGTAACCCTGTATGTGCCACGTACAATATCGCACTGAGAATCCTGAGGAAAACACCAAATTTCAGCGATATATAATTAATCGAGAAACAACGGAAAAACAAATATTCGATGATTAACTATATACGTTTTTGATAGCATTTTCTATCACCAAATTACGATTTTTCTATTCTTTCTATTACCGAATTATAATTAAATTATCTTACGAAACGTAATTACACGATAAAAAAAAAAGTGTGATCGACCGATCCATTACTTTCGCGACGACCAACTATCGATAAACAGGGTGAACGCCAACTTCCATACGAGTACCTCCGCTTTATTAGTACGATCTATAATTATTAACGAACCATTCGATGTACGAATGTAAGAATGACCGATTATCAGGAACGAGATTTTACAATTTAAAAGATTTTAAAAATGTTGCAACGTCTTGACAGTGTTATATGTTACCCCAAATAAAAAATAGGTCAATTAAAATTAAAAAGAAATGGCAAACATTTATTGTGTTAATTTAAATTCTAAATTTTCGAAATATCGAACGTTGTTTTCTAAATTTTTGGATTCTTTTCGATTTGGAATATTTTTAAAAGTGAGCGATGTGATTCGATTAATCTGATTTTAAAATCGACTTTTCACGAACAACTTTTCAAATAGTGCCAATTCTAGCTTAGTATTTAAGAACGTTGTAAAAAAAAAAAAACTTGGGAGAACAAGGAAGACACGAATGTATTCCTTTCTATCCTAAATGAACGTATTTGTGCGCTATATTAAATAGTATTTACGAATCGATCATCCAAATAAGCGACTAGCGCCTTAACTATGTAAATAAACGCTCTTCACGAAACGGCACTTTATCGATGTGATCGTAAAATACGCTAGCGATTATGAAATATGCGTACGCAGAGAGTCGTAGTATCTATTCGCAGACAGAATCGAGAAAATCGTATAGCATAGCGCGATCTCGATAAAACCATAGCTTTTCGTCGAAAATTTAGTATCTCATTTTCATCTCGAAGATCTCTTCCGTAACGTGAGACTGAGATTAACGTGAACCGAGTACGCTTACATTGATTTCTGCCAAAGAAAGTAAACGGTTAGTCGTTGGATCCAAGCGACACTTTCAATCACGCCAAAAACGGAGACATACATAATGCGCGACGATCTTTTTCCATTTTCTTTCTTTCTTTCTTTTTTTTTTTTTTTAATAAAGAGAGATAAAGACTTGCTTATATAAAATTATCTCGTCGGCTGTTTTTATTAAGGCATTAGTAATGTGGATAAGTGTCATAGAAACTTTATAAAAATTCACGACATATGTCCGTTATTACTTTATCGCATAGATGCAATATGTATATACATAAATGACATGATTAGAGAATGCGATTTTTTAAGACTGCGCGCTCATTTTGAAAGACAAAAATATGTGCGAGCACATTGCAGTCGATATCGTAATGTTATCCTACAAGAAATAAATGAATCAAAAAGAATCGACAGAAAAAAACTTATTCTGTAAAATTGAATTTCTAATTTTTTAAATTAAAAAAACTCTGTTTAAAAATTGTCAATTCTTTGTAATTCATTTATATTCCTGGCAGGATAAGATATACTTCGTTTGAGTAATTGAAGCGAATACGAATAACATTTGGAGGAAGAGAAAATACATGCATGTTTTATTTCATCGCCCAATCTCAATCGTAAAAGCACTGTCCGTTAAACAGTTTGGATAAATGTAAAATAGATCATTTTGGAAAACGAACGTATATGTGTAAATGTCTTAATCCATCGAGCAAATAGAATTGTAAAACCAAGACTGTCCATTCGAATAACTAAAGTAAAAAAAAGAACTGCGAAGCAAAATAAAAACTATATATGACGAACAAATTTAGAAAAAAAAAACATTTTGACAATTCCGAAATTTGTATACGCCAAAGGAACGATCTAATGAGAAATATGTACACACTCACGGAAAAAAAATAAAAAGAAAAAATGCGATACGGAATGTCCTAAAAGTTTAATATATATCATTGATTTCATAAAATCAATATTTAAGTAGTTTCCTTCTTTAACATTCAATTTTATTAATCTATAAAATCGATATAGATTCTTAAATTTCTAATTTAGATTGAAATAAGTATAAAAATATAGCATAAATATAAAATATCTATCTATATAAAAGAAATATCAGGGGGAATATAATTTCTGACTAAGAATTAGATAAAAATTAAAAATTTTGTAAATATGGAAATGTTGAAATATTTTTTTATTTAATTATTTAATTATTTATGATTTGCCAAAATTTCCAATTTGCTTTATCATGTCTTTATTCTATATAAATTATGATTTATTATAATTTTTTTAAATAAATTGAATTTTTTTTAAACAGATCAATAGATGTCATTCCTTAAACCATATTATTTCTTTTAAATAAAAAAAAAATCAAATAAAGAAATATATATATTCCTTAATTAAAAATCTCTTATATATAAATAAAAAATTATTTAAATCTTAATTAACCTTAATTTTTCAATTAACTTCAAATTAGCAACGTAATTGAATCGCAAAATGTTGTAATTATAAAAATCAATTGCATAAATTTATATGTATATATATTTACAAAAAAATTTTCTGTCTACTAAAACTCTGAGAGATCTAATAAAAATTAAGATAATTTTTAAGTCGAAATATTTAATTAATTGGATCAGATTAAAAAGGCACATAAAATAAAGTAATAAAACATAAAGCCATTTTATATTTTATATTTTGGCTATAATAACACTGAAATCTCAGTATCGAATTATAGTATTTATTAAAATATTGTAATCTTTTATAAAAGAGAATACAATGCACATCATTTTTAAAAAATACTGATTTGTGCAGTATCCAGTGTGCATTGCAGTTAATCACGATACAATTGTCAAATAAAATATTAATAAAAAATATAAAAGCATATTGAGATAATACATTCACATTTTTGATAATATATTCACATTTTTCTTCTTTGCTGAATATCAAAAGGGGGGAAAATATTACTTATTAAATATAATAATGAAAAGCTACTCTCTCTATGCCAAAAGAATATTAAAATTCATATATGTATGTACTAACAGGAATATGACACATTTCAGTTATAAAAATACATATTTGTAAATATAAATTATGGTAATGTAATAAAATCCAGATGATTATGATAACTTAATTCATAATATAATAAAAATGTGACGATATATTAACCTTCTTCCATAAATAATACTAACAATAATTACTAGCAATACTGAGTAGACTTATTGGAGAATAAAAGTTAATATAAAAAAAAACATTAAAGTTTTTGATATGATTGAAATATTGCTAAATAATGCTAACAATAATCACTAGCAATACTGAGGAGGCTTATTGGAGAATTAAAGTTAATATAAAAAAAAAAAAGCAAAAAGTGAATAATATTTCACATTTTTCTTTACTCCAAATATTAAAAATGAGAACAAATTCACTTATTAAAAATAATCTGTATACAAATTTGCAATGCTAGAAGCACAGCATTTAATTAACATCGATTTATATAAACAATTATATTAATTATGTAAACAAATTCCTAATATTATTTCGATCATTAATTGTTTATATATATCAATATTAATCGCATTATTGCACCATTTAATCAAAGTCACTGTTGTATTTTCGAATCCATAGAATGTCATGGCAGTCTTTCTGCGTCAAAATTATTTTTTGTTCAGCATGTAACTCTATGATGAGGATATTTCATTAACGACACATTTGTCACGTGTGATTATTTTAATATTAAGTATTGATGCAGAGAAAGAATAAAATATGAAAATTAATCATCATTTTTTAGACTAACAAACGACAATGAATGCGATTCAAAGAAATACTTACCGAGCAGAATCAAGAAAGCTGTAGTAATATCTTCGGGCGAGTATGTGTCGGATATGAAGTCATCAAACTTAATACATTCCTGATCGTACCATAAAACCTCTAACATAGCCAAAATGTCATGACTTGTCAGAGATACAGCTTGCGAAATTTCGATTGAGCTAATGGTACAAACAATATTTTCATTAAATATTAAATAGTTCTCTCTCAGTTAGAGTTCGTAATTAAACTTGAGGTAACAATGTGCTAAATTTCGTAAAAAAGAATTATCAAAATTCTTATGGTAAAACAGCGATAAAGATTTTCTTCGAACATCCAATAAATGATTTTTCTTTCCTTCAAGTATCTGTATAAAGTTTAAGTATAACTTAAAAAGTTGTTAAGTCAAGTCCTTTTTTTTTACAAGAAGAAAAAATTTCAAAGTACCGAACAGGAGATTCCAGAATGTGATCATTTTTTTTCAAATGTTGTCTCTCCATTAAAGTTGTTATATCTTCTAACGTTTCATCAACCTCGTTTATATCCGTTATTTTCTTCTGCTTGCGCTCAGCGATACTGAAATGAGTTATTTTAATAAGTAGATATCAAGAAATTTAGAAATATTAAAAAGATATTAAAAAAATATCAAAACACACATTGAAGGAGCATTTAAAGAGATAATTTTAAGAGATATTAAGATGTGAGAAAGTTGAGAGCGAAATTAAATAATCTCCTTAATTTTTGTTTTGGTAGCTTATATGAAAATATAATTGGTTTCTACATCGTTGATAATACGAACTCTTTTATGCCTGTTTCTGAAATGATCATATCCGGTGCTGTTTCTGGTAGTGGTATCGCTAATGCTTCACGAGCAAAATCTTGGTCATTGGAATAAAGATTCATCATTGGAACAATGTTCGCAATGCTGCCTAAAGCAGAACCATCAGCTGCAATCGTAGCGTCTTGTCCGAATGCGCTTAATTCTGTAGGAAGATTTAGCCTGCTTGTCATCTCCCCTGCACGCAACGGTTCTTCGGCTAAAAATAAAGGTGCATATAAAAATTTATTCTCACAATAATACAATACAATGATATTTAATAAATGTCTAAATATAAATTTACTTTGCATCAGTTCAATAGGCACAATGTTTTCATCTGTGCTCAATCTGAATAATCTGGTGGTATGTTTCTTAAAAAGATCATATAAATTGGCTGCCCATTGCTTATGATCCCAATGCGAAGGTTGCTTTAAAATCATTTTCGCTGATGTGAAGCGATGTATTTGCACTATATCGGATTGCTAAAAGTAATCAAAAGGTCTGAACTGAAATCAGAACTTTGGAATTTCTTCCAAATTAAAATTTTTAAGTGATATGATTTTTATCTTTCACTCTTTAACACATTGATATAAGTATAAATACATATTTTCTACAAAATTATATAACTTAAGAACTTACTCTGCAATTATAATTCACATTCTGACACCGCTGTCGAAACAGCTCATCTTTCAAACTGATTTTCTTATCGATCATCTTTTTCGATTTTTTAATTACAAAGAATTCAGAATCTAAAGGTTGCAGTTGTGATTCTATTTGCTGTGGAGATATTGGCGCACTTATCCCTTCAACTGTTATATCTTCTATAAAAGGCGAAACCACCTTAAAAGATAGCTGTAAAGTAATATATAAAAAAAAGTTAAATAAGAATCACAATTAAAAAAATATGCATATAAAACAATACCACAAGTCATTTATATAAACAAAAAAAAATAAAAATAAGAATATTTAATTTTCCAAAACTCGCAAGTCATCGACTCTTATTCACTCTTAATCTCAAGTATACAGATTCAAAATATTGGTATTATCTTTTAACCCAAAAAGAGAATCATTATCATAAATAAACACATACACGTCTCCTCTTTGTAGGGGTTTCTACTTGCGGTTGATCTTGTGGCACTCGTTTTTGTGGAGTCAAAGATAATTCTTTGGATTTAGCTTTTGTTTTAGATATATCCACAACTACTGGACTGCGAATTGTCTGAGACGAGTGTCTTTCTTGATGAACTTCTTCATCTAAATAAATAATTTAATTTAAATATAAAACATGATATATAATGTAATTATATTTTAAATATCTATCTACCTTCTGGAATCTCTACATCATTGATCATCTCTGTGCACTCTTTCTCGTGGCTGATCCACAATCCTTTCTCCAGATTACTGTAAAATAAAGTATTGATATGTTACTCTTTGTATTAAATATACTGCAAATTAATTTTGATATCAAAATATAAAAACAAAGAAAGATTAAGAATAATGAAGTAAACACACAGTGCCACTACATTATTATACTTTGTAAAAGAATTGCATTAAATTGAGATTAAGGAAGTTATTAAAATTCAGGAATTGGGAACTAACGGTATCATATCATGCTCGAGCATCATATCTAACTCTTCATTAGTCAAAGCCCCAAAATTTTGACATATTGCATTCTCCATCTGTGCGAATAAAAAGTAAATCAAAGTCTATAAAAGCCAATAAAATTTATAATCACAGAATTAAGGATTTGGAAATAGTAGGAAATAGGTCGGAATTCAAAAATTTAATTTTTAATATTTTTTTTTTTAAAGATACATAAAATTTATTAAAAATATATTTCTGCCAGTCATCTTATTAGTTTGTATAAGGAAAGTAAGAGAACTTACTCTCATGTGTAATCCATGATCTAGATTTTGGTCTAGAAGCAGATGCAAATTTGCATCTAATTGAGGATTACCTTTTTTCACCAAAGATAGCTCAAATGGACAAATGTCAAGATTCTCTATTGCATCGTTAGCTCTTTTTTTCTTCTGTAGCGCAACATCAAGTTTTTCCTGCATTTCAAGAACTTCCTCTGAAAAATAAGATTAGATATATAAAATTAAGTGGTAAATAATCAGTCTAATAAATATATATTGAGCTAAACTTACTTTCAAAATACATAGTCTGATATGACTGGAGTTTTGTTATACCATACATTAAATGCGATGACAGATATAAGCTGTATCTCTGCTTGCCATTTCTACCATTTCCATCACATATTATTTGCAGAATCTCTTCGCTGCAATTGATAAAATATTATAAATAAAAAAAGATTTTAAAAAATGTTTGCATATAGAAATAGCAATTATAAGTAAAATATTATACCAAATTTTTATAATATCTATCTTGTTTATAGTGACTTGTTTATAGCGTTTCTTAAATAATTTCTCGCTCATTGTTGCAGCAAACCAACAAACAGCTAGGTCAGCTTTTCGTGGATAAGTGAGTAGTTCAATTGGATAAAACATCTAGTGAATTAAAAATTGCAGAATAACAGAAATGAATTTATTTATAAATAACAGACAAAATTATGATAAAAAATAATTAGAATAAAAAGATAATGATGATTACTCAGCTATAATAATTAGCTACCTATCTGTAGAAAAATTTCTATATATAATTTATTGTTTCTAATTTAATTTCTTTCATGTGCCAAAAAAATAAAGAAAAGAAAATAAAAAATTAATATCAATAAATTACTGCATCAAGTATCACATTAACAAAGTAATTGTCCTGAAATGGCCTTTAATCTATTAATTTAAAAAATCTTTCAAATTTTCTTGCTCAAAAACTAAGGACATGATAAATTAAAGATTTTTCTAATCTTTGTAATTATTAAATATCTACCTTTTACATGCGCTTTTTTTTCATAATAAATAAACTATTTTCCGTTCTTTTTATCCGATGCCTGAACATATAATTTCGCAGTTTTATGGAAAATGAGGTATACCTATACCCTTCTCCGAAAAACAAAATACTGCAATTTTCAAATTGATGAATCGCGCGCCGAGAGCAATTGGGTTGCGTTCGAAAATCCACTCTCGTCAGTTTCTACTGTCCCATGCAGCGGAAAATCCAGAAGCGTAATCTATGCATGCCAATAATATACACTGTTCCGATAGATGCAATGAAAGAATCTATAGGAAGGGTCTTGTGATTGGCAAGCGTAAATTGTGCTTCCGCGAGTTCTGCTCCATGGGACAGTAGAAAATATAATTAGCGCAATTGGCGGAATGTCTGCGATTGGACAGATTTCGTTCCGCCAATTCCGCATTGCATTTCGCAATTCATACATTCCATGGGATCGCACCATCAGAACAAAGTTTGAGGATGCCACTGAATTCTATACATATGTAAGATTATATTTAAGAAGATTAAAGGCTGGTTTATGCAGGCCGTAACTGTTAATTTATGCCGGAACCGTTAAAGTTTAACACTAGGATTACAATGCTTTTGTTCATAATGCCATTATGAACAAAAGCATTGTAATCCTAGTGTTAAACTTTAACGGTTCCGGCATAAATTAACAGTTACGGCCTGCATAAACCAGCCTTTAGTCATTATATGTAATATATGTATTTATTTGCGCAACCCATGATGCATTGCGAAAAGCCGCGAGAGCCAATAACATAGTTTACCTTATTTAGCCTCTCTTTTCAATAGCGACTGCGCATAATCGATTCTTTGTATTGCATTATGGGTTGCGAAAGGCTCATGACTTAACTTTTTTTTATATAATCCACGAAATTCTATACATATTCTTATATTTTTCAATGCAATTTTACTCAATATATAAGATTTTTACAAATGAAATGATATAAAAAAACGCGAGACTATTCAAGTAAATTTTAATTAGATACAAATTTAAAAATTAGAGAAGACATTTTTCTTTCTTATCTATAAAAGAAGAGATTAATAAGAGAGATTGATCACTGATACATCCGCACGGTGACGTATTTAATTTCTTAATGTGTCCTTTTCATCATGATTATAGAATGGCAATGCGGTACTGAGGCGAAAACAAGTTAATCGACTATAGGAGAATTCCCAATCTAATATTAGAGAAAGTTGAGTTAATGATACGTCTGCATACATATATGTAGTACTCTTTGCAGTTGCTAACATTTCAAAACATAATTTTTTCGCCAACTTATTTTAGCATAACAGATATATTCGAATTTATTTAGCACACAAACTATAAGAGCATATATTATAGTTGAATTCTTCTACTCATAACTATTAGTGTCTCTGTCTTTAATCAGCCGATATCCTATGAACTCAACTTCGTTGTTCTTTCACCATTTCACATAATCACACGTTGAACTATTTTTATATGTTAGCCCAACATTACGTATTATCAATATCTATAATAGATGATACAAACGAAGGAAGAAAAGTATCTTCGTAACATGCGTAACAAACGTAATATTGAATATAATAACGCGTCCATTTGTATTGCTTTTATTATCATCTTTTTACGCATAGCTGCATCTCGCATTTGTCTCGCTTACTTAGAGAAATGAACTATCAAATATTCAAATTTATACAATCGCAGTTGTGTGAGCAGTTTTCTTCATAAAATCAGCTCTACAAAAACGCAAAAGTATTTGATATACAATCTATTATAATCTATTACGATCGTATGCCGGATGTCTCGACTTGCTTTTTTCCTCGACGTGTCGTTCATTACAATTACATGCCGCGAATGTGATTTCAATAGTGCAATTAATAACTTAACGCGATCTCGTCAAAGAGACTTTATATGATCTCTGTTTTTTCTTGCAAAAAGGGTACAGGTTTATTTTTTTAATATTAATTGTTATCTCGCGTACCACTTTCGATTTCAAGAGAGAAATTTCCATTAGTATCACTAATTTCCGAAGAATCTAATAACGAATATAATATATATATAAACAACAAAATGTGATTCTTTCCGTCATGATTTCTCTTATTACGTTATATAATGTTACATAATTGCAATAATCTCGGATGGGAGGAATTAATTTCATTTTCTCTTTCTCTCTCTCTCTCTCTTGTGTGCAGACTATATATATACATATAAAATATCATTATCGCCGCTTTTATTACGAGAGATCTATCAGTAGCCTGTTTTCCATCTGTAATTCGGTAGAGATCTTCTGTAAAATGATCAATTTTTCTGCTCATCTAAAAAGAACTGTGCTATGAAGAAAAAATGCAGTTATGAACATATGCAGTCATAATATATATATGTTATATTGCACACACCAATCTTTAGGCGTACAAAAAATACTCGATTTGTTTGAATGAAATATCTCTTCAATCAGATCTGTAATGATGCTTTTATGCTCTTTATAACAATTTAATTTGAATTTTTATTGTAAATACCGCACTCTCTCTCTCTCACCCTCTTTCTTTCTCTTTCC